CCCAGGGGTCCCCCCGGGGGGGGCCAGAAACCCCCCTCCCGTCTTTTTTTGCGGGGAAGGGGGCTTTTTTTCGGGAATCCCCAGAAAAAAAAAACCCCGAGAAAAGGGCGGCCTCTTTTTTTTTTTTTCCTTTCGCCGCGGGGAGAAAACTTTTAGTTACCACGTCCCCCCCTCCTTTTGGGAACCCCAAAGACCCCCCCCCCACACTTTCGGTTCGTTTCCCTCGCCGGAGACCGCCGGAGGTTTCCAACCTCGGTGGAGGGGGGGGGGAATTGCCGGCGGAACTTGGCCCTCGCCGCGCCGGTCCAGGCAGCGCCGCCTGAACCTGCAGCAGATGCCGACTCCGGACCGACGCGTTTGTTTGCGCTCCTCCGCCGGCATCCTGCGCTACGCGGCCACAGGCGCACACCTCATGGAAACAAGTCCGATAAAACGTGTAGGTGATAAAAACAAATACCTACAAATTAGTGCACCCGGGAAACCCCAGCGCGGGCAGCGGGGAGGCGGTCTCACTAATCCCTGGAACAGGTGAGGCTCGGGCATCTCCCGGGTTAGGTGGTGGAGGGGCTCTAGGGACAGGCACGGGGCGCAGCTGGCTAATGGGGTGCTCCTCTTACCTCTAAAATAGGCAGTGTTTGTCGGGATGCCCTTGTCATGAGATGACTTAAGGTGCTTAAACACCCCTCAAAGTTATGATTTCTGTCTATCTCTGAGAACTATATTTTTCTTTCAATTCCTTTTAATAGTTTACTTGTAACATTTATATTGTCTTGATAACCGTGCCTGGCTAGCTCAGTCGGTAGAGCATGAGACTCTTATATTGTCTTGATGGGTTTGCTTGTAGCTCTCTCTCTCTCTCTCTCTCTCTCTCTCTCTCTATATATATATATATATATATACACACACATATATATAGTAGATGCTCAATATATATTTAAAATATTGAGAGAGGGGGTCAATGGGAAAAAAGGGGGGACATCTGTAATACTTTCAACAATAAAGATAAATAAATAAAGAGAGAGTGCCGGGTTATGTGAAGGAAATGTTCAGGGTGCTGGCGCGGAGGGTAAAGGAAATGCTTTGGTGGTTTTTACCTGCCTACAATGCACCTCCCTTCTTCAGGTAACAATACCCCACTTATTCCTTTGAGGAGCCACCCCTTCCCCACCTTCCTTCCTTCCTAATCCCATCTCGAAGCTGGGGAGGGGGTGGCCCGAGACCCACGCCTGGCCAATCACAGACGTGCACGTCAAGCGACAGGGCCAAGCAGACACAGTCCAGGGGTCCAGGGCTGCCTGAGGAGGAAGCCCACCCCGCAGAACGCAGAGCTGACACTTGAAGCAAAGACTGTGTCTGAGGGTTGATCCCTCAGTGGCTTTCTTACATGAGGCAATAAATTCCCTTTGCACTGACTAGAGCCAGTTTGAGCTGGATTTTCTCTTTCTCCCAACAAGAACAATGTGTTGATGATCCAAAGCACCAAGACAGCCTCTCCTAGGAGAGGACACTTACTAGGAAGCAGAGACCTGAAGGTGGAGAGTGGCTGGGTCACATGAAAAGGCAAAGGGAAGGCCCAGGAAAGGAAAGAGTGTGGCAGGTGTGAGGAGCTGCAGGAAGGCCCGATGGCGGTGGCCGGGGGAGAGAGGAGCCGAGTAGATGCAGCTGGACCGAGGTCCCTGATGGAGGGCCTCACAGGCTTTTTAAGAGTCTGGGACTTCATTCCAAGAGCAGTGGGAAGTCAGTGCAGGGTTTTAAACAGGGATCGACTGAATCTGCATTTGGACATTCTTTGCATTTTAATAAGAACATGGGTGATAGTGTGGGGACTAGATTGGCAAGAGGTAGGAGTAGCGCAGGCGATTACCTAGAAAATTATTGCAGACCTCTGGGTTAGAGACGATCACGATGATTTAGACCAGTGGTTCTCAACCTTCCTAATGTGGTGACCTCCAATTTCATTGTTACAAATTGAACATAATTAAAGCATAGTGATTAATCACAAAACAATATGTAATTATATATGTGTTTTCCGATGGTCTTAGGCAACCCCTGTGAAAGGGTCATTCGACCCCCAAAGGGGTCGCGACCCACAGGTTGAGAACCGCTGATTTAGACAGAGTGGGCACAGTGGATGTATAGAGGTTGGGTTTGTGGCAGCTGGTTTCCAACGATGTCCCCCCGTAGACCATGACTCCCAATAGTCACGCCTTGTGTGGTCCCATCCACCCTGAATCTGGGGCCGCTCTGTGGGACTTCAACCAATGGAATGCAGAGGAAGTGGCGCTGTGCCTTCCAAAGGCAGGAGATCCAGTGTCCATGCTATTGAGGACTCTGCTGTGTGGCCGGAAGCCTCGGAGATGGAGGCAAACACTCTTTGGCTCCTAGAGTGGATTCCAGTCACCCTGGCTCTGACTTATCACCCACCCACGGTCTCTGTGTCTCTGATTGGTCAGTTACCTGGAGGTACATGGATGTCCTAAGGTTCAATCAGCAGTGGGGGAGAGGGGAGGAGGGGGAAGGGAAGGGAGAGCCGGAGGTACAGACATGGCTGCCTGGCTCCACTTTCCCTTGAGATGAGAGAGCAGTTTTCAAGAGGAGAACGTGACTACAGCAATTTCAAAAGAGGCTCAGCTTGGGACAGGCTTGCATGACTCAGTGCTCAGCACATTGGCCTCTGCCCCAGTGCAATCCCTCAGGGAATGGAATAGAATTCCACCACCCACCTCCTCACAACATGCTGACCCTCTTCCTGGACCTCTGACCCTGGCTGGGTGTTCCTCAGCTCAGGTTCCCAAACCTCCTTGTGGGGCTGCTTCTCCCACCTTCCTCAGCTGTATCCCTGACCCTTTGCTGGACTTTCTCCTCTGACCCCCAGGCTCAGGGTAATAATACCAAGAGCGACCACTTAGAATGCATTTACTAATGTATGAGCCAAGCACCCGGCAAGAGCTCATGGACTCCTAGAACCAGTTCTAGAAAGCAGGCACTCTCTTTTCATGCCCATTATACAGATGCATAAGTCAGGTTCACACAAGATAAGTAACTTTTCCAAGGTCACACAGCCAGTGAGAGTTGCTCCAGGAGATGAATTGAAGTTTAAAAAAATATATATATTTTATTGATTTTTTACAGAGAGGAAGGGAGAGGGATAGAGAGCCAGAAACATCAATGAGAGAGAAACATTGATCAGCTGCCTCCTGCACGCCCCCCACTGGGGATGTGCCCGCAACCAAGGTACGTGCCCACAACCAAGGTACATGCCCTTGACCGGAATCGAACCCGGGACCCTTGAGTCCGCAGGCCGATGCTCTATCCACTGAGCTGCCCCAGGAGGTGAATTGAAGTTTATATACCCCTGGAGTCTGTTCCCTTAATATCTAGGGACACACAGCCCTCCAGCCCAGGTTGGTGTTTGCCTCACCCTACCTCTCACCTGAGCGGGGTTGGGGTGAGAGCCCAATGCTTTCTTTCAAGGGTACACAGCTTTGACCTCTGTCTGCTGTGCTTCAAGTTCATTCAGGCCAGGGCTTTTCACAGCGTGGTTCCTGGGCCAGCAGCATCAGCATCGCCTGGGAATTTGTCAGAAATGCATACTCTAAGGCAAGCATGTCAAACTCGCGGCCCACAGGCCTCATTTATTTGGCCCGTGTTAGCCTTTGAGTTTGACATGATTGCTGTAAGGCTTACTGACTCAGAAACTCTGGGGTGGGGCCCAGAAACCTGTTTTAGCAAGCCTTCCAGGTGGTTCTGAAGCCCACCCATCTGAGCACCATTGGATCAATCCCTTTCCATTCCACTCTCAGGTGGCTCTGGAGACAGCAGCTGGAGAAAATGAGGCTTTTCAGCTGAGTATTGTGGGTATTTTTTGGTGGTGATGGTTGTATTCTCATCACATTTGTCAGAAATGACTCAGGTCTGGCTTGAGAGAAGGTGTGTGGATTCCTTGCACACTATTATTTTTTCACATTTGCATTCAGCCTAAAAGAGAGTGAAAAGAGACATAAAGAAATCCAAACTACCCAATTCAGCAACTTAGCTTTTTGTCGGTCTAGGGAAGAGTGTGACTGTAATCCCATAGTCAGTCAACACGCTGAATTTAAAAAGAGGCCCAGCTCGGTACCAGGTCCTGGGCTGGCCTCTGTGTCAGGGGACAGATGCCTTACTAATAACTAGGATTTGGGGTTCCAAGAGTTGGGGTCCAGGATCTGCTCCAACATGATCCTGGCCTGTACTGTTTCAAATTCCTCACCAGTGCACAGCCCCAAGCCAGAGACCTGGCTCTGTCATTTGCCAGCTGTGTGATCTTGGGCAAGTACTTGGCATCTCTGGGCCTCAGATTCCTGAATTGTGAAATGAGAGTAATATTTCCCACCTTGCAGGCTTGTTGTGAAGATGGAGGAAATGCATGTAGCATAGAGGTGCCATTTACTAGCTGTGTGACCTTGAACAGGTTAGTTAGCCTCTCTAGCTTGTTTTCTCTCTTGTAATATTAATAGCACAAACTTCAAAGGATTGTTGTGAGATTCAAGGTCATATAAATTGTACAAGGTTGCTATCATGCAACTACTCTGGTAATGTAAGCTATTATTAATGTTAAATACATAATACAGTTTCTGGAGCATAGTAGATGCTCAACAAACGGTGGCTGTTGTTATTAGTTTCCATCCTTCACTTAAAGACAGCTCTGACTTTACAATGCCTAAGGCTGCTTGCAGCCTCTGGCTGCGGTTTCTTCAGGGTCTCCATCTCACTGATGCCTCCAGGGGGTGGGCAGTGCTGACTTCGGGTTGATGCTCTTTCTACCAGTTCATCTGTGATCTCATTTTGAGTTCCAGACCCCCCTCAGATCTCCTGCTGTTTGCTGTTGACCTGATTGCAGCATGCTTTGTTCTGGCTTTATGCTCCATTCTCAGGGCCCATTTCACAGGCATAAAGTTTCAGACCAGAGTTAAATTCAAGCTCTATTGCTCACACTAACAGTGTAATCTTGGACAAAGGATTTAACACCAATTTTCTCATCTGTGAAATGGGGTCAATAATGCCCATCTTGCTGGGTTGTATAAAGATGAAATAGCCTTGGCTGGTTTGCTAAGTGGCTAGAGTGTCAGCCCTCGGACCAAAGGGTTGCAGGTTTGATTCCTGGTCAAGGGCACATACCTAGGTTGCAGGTTTGATCCCCGACCCCTGTTGGGGCCCCTGTGGGAGGCAACTAATCAATGTGTCTCTCTCTCACATTGATGTTTCTCTCTCTCTCTCTCTCTCTCTCTCTCTCTCCCTCCCTTCAACTCTCTCTAAAAATCAATGGAAAAAATATCCTTGGGTGAGGATTAACAACAAAAACAAAGATTAAATACAACCATGTATTTGTAAACATTCATCATGGTAACTGTCACACAATAGGTGCTTAATAAATGCTTATTTACTTCTCTGTTCACCTCTCCCTATGGAGTAAATCCCATAATCATTCTAACTGGTATGTGATCAGTAAAAGGGGAAATAACCTTTCCTACTTGTGGCAGAGACTGCCAGTCTTCACACAATATCCAGTCTCCCTTTCTTCTTTAGTATTTTGACTTTATTGGGTGTGGGAGGAAGTAACAACATACCCAACTACTGACTATATCTTCCCGCCTCCCTTGCAGCTAGGTGGCACCATGTATCTTTTCTGGTCAATTATATGAAAGGAAGTGTTGGTGGTTGTAATCGCTGAATTGTGCCCCTCCCGACCCCCCCAAAAAAACAGATATGTTAAAATTCTAACCCAAATACCACAGCATGTGACCTTATTTGAAAACAGGGTTTTTACACAATCAATTTAAAATGAGGCCATTTGGGTGGGTCCTAATTCAGAATGACTGGAGTACTTATTGAACAGGGAAATTTGAGCACAGAGACAGACATGTACAGAGGGAAGATGATGCGAAGACACAATGGGAGAAGATAGTCATGTGACTGGAGTGATAAGCCTACAGGCCTAGGAATGCCAAGGATCTCCAAGGATTGCCAGCAAACACCAGAAGCTAGAAGCGGCAAGGACTCTCCCCTAGAACCACCAGAGAGAGCATGGCACTGCCAACACCTTGAGCGTGGACTTCTAGCTTCCAGAACTGTGAGACAATAAATATCTATTTTAAACTACCCAGATGTTGGTACTTTTTCACAGGAGTCCTAGGAAATTAACACAGGTGGAATTTGAAGGTGGCTGCTTAACGGGAGGCTTCCTGATGCTTGGAATGTGCCGGGTTGGTGTTTATAATATTTAACAACCTGTGTATGGAGATGGGCACTGATCAATCAAAAAGGACATGGACCAAGAACAAGGTGTGTGGTCACACACATTCACATATTGGTTAGGTCAGTGGTCGGCAAACTGCGGCCCCTTGAGTGTGGCTCTTTCACAAAATACCACATGTGGGCGTGCACTTACAGTGCAGTTGAAACTTTGTGGCCACACTCAAGGGGTCAAAGAGCCGTATGCGGCTTGTGAGCTACAGTTTGCTGACCACTGGGTTACATATTAGCCCTGGGAATGTGGCTGGAGCTCCAACAGCCATTTTGTACCACGAAGCTAGAAGCTAGGAGCTGGGGATGGCAGACTTGGACTGCATTCCTCCAATATTATCGACTACATCCTTGGTAGAATAAACCTATGTTTGTTTATGGCTCTGTTATTTGGGGATTTTCTATTTTCCTCAGCCAAACCTAAATTTAACTCACATCCAATCCCATGAAGTACTGGGAATCCTGAATGAAATGATCAACAGGAAAGTATTTTTGCAAATTCTCCAGCTCTAGGCAGACATAAGACATCTTTCTTATTGCAGTCTTTGTGATGATGATTATGATTGGTTTAGGAAAAATAGATTGAAATTGACTGACATGATCCTGGCCAGAGATCAGAGGTTTTTTTTTTGTCCTGCTTCAGCAACATTATATATATATATCTCCCAGAGAGGAAGGGAGAGGGAGAGATAGGAACATCAATGATGAGAATCATTGATTGGCCACCTCCTGCAACCCCCAACCAGATATCGGATATTGAGCCTGCAACCTGGGCATGTGCCCTTGACCAGAATTGAACCCAGGACCTTTCAGTCCACAGGCCGATGCTCTATCCATTGAGCCAAACTGGCTAGGGCAACAACATATTCTTGAGGGCTCTGCACAGCATCCATGGATAACAGTGGCATGAGAGACTGGCAGGAGAGGGGCTGCCAACTTTTGGGCTGGATGCCAGCAGGATGACTGGGTGATTTTTGTTGAGCTGCAGCCAGAATGCTCAGCCACTGGTTGGCAGTTAATCATAAAGGGTAAGAGTCAGGACAGATAGCTTTGAATCCAGGCTCCACCCTTACTTGCTATGTGACCCTTGGCAAATTACTGAACTTCTCTGAGTCTCAGATTTTTCATTTGTAAAATGGGAACAATTATAGCCCCTGTGACATAGGGTTGCCATGGAGATTTAGTGATATAAATACCCAGTAGGGAAAAAGATACATCCAGTTTATTTGTATCCTGTCCACTAGCCCTTGACAGATAATATATGAACAGACTGGATTCTGATTTGTTCCATCTTACCTTCATTGATTCATTCATTCAGTAAGCATAGTGAATGTGCCTACTCTGTACCAGGGGATGAAAAGAGTTAGTGAGATAGATTTAGACCATGGTAGCCAAATACAGCCAGCTCAAAAGTGGTTTAAAAAAAATAGAGCTGCCCTAGCTGGCTTGGCTCAGTGGATAAAGCGTTGGCCTGTGCACTGAAGGGTCTCAGGTTCGATTCTGGTCAAGGGCACATGCCTGGGTTGTGGGCTCAATCCCCAGTAGGGGGCATGCAGGAGGCAGCCGATCAATGATTCTCTCTCATCATTGATGTTTCTTTCTCTCCTTCTCCCTTCCTCTCTGAAATCAATAAAAATATATTTAAAAAAATAGAGCCAAAGTTTGCTTGGGCGCCCCTCCCCTCCTCTCATCTTTTCTTGAGGGCTCCCTTCAGCGTTTCATTCATGGCTGTCCTGGTCTACCTCCTCACAGTCAGTAGATGCTTGTTCTCAGGAGGACCTCAGTCACTAATTCATACTATAGTGGAAATGACTATGAATCTCTCAAAGAAGGGGCTTGCAACTGACCCCTCCTGTAAAGTGATTGCCTCCTGAAAGGTCGTTCTTATGCATAGAAAGCAAAAAGGTTCCAAGTAGAAGGGCACAGAGGAATCATTCAGTCTGAACCCAAGCCAGGCAGAAGTGACTGTCTAAGCAGAATGACCCCAACCAAGTACACCCAGCAGTCCTGTGGCCAGGCTGGGTGGGAAGTAGAAAATGGCTCCTCCAGACTCCATGGTCACTGCTCTACATTATCTGTGCATGCTCTGATTAGGTTTTTCAGGTCACCCCTGGCAGGTACTGAGGCAGGACTAGAAGTGCCTCTGCCGTTCAAGAAGCCTGCAGCCTGACAGGGGACATGAACACATATGAGCTCTTTGGCCACCCTGATTTGAAATGCTGTCTTCACTGTGTACTGCATCCTCCAATGTGCACCAGGCTACTCTAGACTCTGTTCGGTGCTACTGCCGTCTCGTCCTGCACCACCACCATGCTATTTCAAAGACTATCACTTTAACAATATGTTTTTATCCGGTACAGGGAGGCCTCTTTCTTCTTTTTCAAGAATGTCTTAGTTGTTCTCATATCATTACTGTTCCAGATGAACTTCTAAATTAGCTTTTGAGTAACAGATATTGAATCCTCTTCAGCACTTTTATTTATGCCAGGCCCGCGGTTCCTGCCCTGAGAGCTCACACACTCCACGAGAAGTGTAACCGAACAAGAGGTGTAAAACGACGTCAGGAATCTCACCTGTGGGTAACCAGAGCCAAAGGCCTGAGGAGTCCCCACAGATGTGTGTTATGAATTCCATTGTCCCTCCTCGCTAGGGAAGTCCGAGGAGGCTCAACAGGGGAGTGGCATACTGGACTTAGACGGATGAGGAGGAGTTTTTCAGGGATAGAAGAGGAGAAATGCTTTGAGTGGGGAAGTCAGAGAACGCTTACCTTGGGAGACACATTTCCTATGAGAGTTGCTAGGCGTTTGCCGGATTCAGAGGATGAAATGAGGAAGGGATGGCCCTGAGCTGAGAACATCACAGAAGGCTCTCTGAAGATACTTCAGCTGGGTTCGAGTTGGAGGTGTCAGAGAAGATGCTGGAAGAGGTAATTAAATAAAAACGGTTTTTATTAGAAAAGTAATACAAGATGACCTTTTACCTGGACTGCGAAGGAGGAGCCAGACAGGGCAGAGGAGGTAGTCACAGAAAAGTCTTCCCAGGAGCAAATAGGAAATTTGGCTTCCTGCCCACTCTCTAAGATCCACGACCAGGAACTAAGAGTCCCACCGCGTCGACGCCGGGAATTCTGAGATGGTGACGCTGCGGTTCCGATTTCCGGGGGTCGGGTAGCCGTGGGCAAGGGATCGGCCGCGAGGACAGAGGCTCAGATTTGCGGACCCTCTGGCAGAGCTGAATGCTTTATGTCAGAATTGACCAATGGGATGACGGCACGCGGTTGCCAGGGCTACGGCGGGGCGGCCGAGCGGAGGCGGGGCCTGAGTGGCAGGGGCGGGGTCGGGGCGGGGCTTATATAAGCGGCCGCGGGAGGAAGGCGGAGCGTGGGGTCGGTGGCTGCTGGGCGGGCGGGGCGCAGGCCGCGGGGCCGGATCCGGGGGGGAGCGAGCGAGCGGAGGCGCGGAGGCGCGGAGGACCCGATTCACTCGCTGGGGAGATCTATGGGCCGAAGCCGTGTAAATGCGTTTTAAGGCGAGTGCGGGGAGTGGCGCGGGGAGCCTCAGGGGGCGGGCGCCCTCGGCTCCGGTCTCCAGTGCTGACGTGCCCCTGGCCCCTCTCGCCTCCTTTCAGCAGGGGCCTCGGCTCCGCAACTGCCACTCCTCCTCGGGGTGTTGCACAAGTTTCGAGGTCACCGGCGACCCCCCCTAGCAGTGCGCCTGGCTCTGGCCCCTGCGAAGGAGGACGGGGCGTGGTAAGGGTGTGTGTGTGTGTGTGTGTGTGTGTGTGTGTGTGTGTGTGTGTATGGGGGTCGGGGGCGGGACCTCGGCCCTGCACTCGGGAGGGCTCCCCGGGAAGGACCCTCAGCCTTTGGTCCTCGCCCCTGGAGCCCGCAAGGCGCCCCCATGCACGCTTAGAATCCCCAGCACTCCAAGGCCAGCCGCCCCCCTTTAAAAATGTAGAAGCTGAGGCTCTGAGAGGGGATGGGGCGTCCCCAAGGTCACGCAGCGGAGAGCGGGCTCGAACTTCAGCTCGGGTGCTGGACTCGGCGCGGCCTCTGCAGCCTCCTTAGGTGGGCGTGGTCAGGGCTGGGGCAGCGGGAAACGGACTCCCGAGACGCTCGGCTTTCCTGCTCCCTTACTCTCTTTCTTTCCTTTTTTTAACTAAAACTGGAAAGAATCTCCAAAACAATGCATCCATTTTATGGATGGGGACACTGAGGCTCGGAGAGGCACTGACATCTAAGCCTATAATGCCGTGTCCCCGTCCAGGATTCGCGATTGTCTCTACCCTTCCCAGTGAACCCGAGCTCCCCAGGCTTGTGCGAGGGGCGTGGCGGGTGTGACAGGACTGGGCACCGTGGCTTGGGGAAGTGAGGGGGTCAGCGGAGGCCTCCCCCCCGCCCGCCCCATCGACCCCAGGCCAGCAGCACCTCCTTCTCCCCCGCAGTGTGTTGCATACTTTCTAAGGCGGCAGCGGCGGCGGAGGCAGAGGCAGCGGCGGCGGCTCCATCCAGCCCATCGGCTCCTCCTCCTCCTCCTCCTTCTCCTCCTCCTCCTCGGCATGGCAGGCTACCTGAGCGAAACGGACTTTGTGATGGTGGAGGAGGGCTTCAGCACCCGAGACCTGCTGGAGGAGCTCACTATGGGGGCCTCTCAGGCCACCACGGTGAGGGGGTGCGGGTGGGGTTGGAGCCCCGGTCCCTGGTGCAGGCCCAGCTGCCTCCTCTGAAAGGACCCCTGGGGCCTCATCTTATTCTTTCACTTGCTATTCATAACTTGCTAATTGCAAGAGCCAGACCCATGTTGTCCCCAGTTCCTGGTCCTTGCCTCCCAAACCCGCCCCTCCTGTTCCTGCCTTGAGGACAGCACCACTATCATCTACCCAGGCCCTAGAGCAGTGATAGTGAACCTTTTGAGCTCGGCGTGTCAGCATTTTGAAAAACCCTAACTTAACTCTGGTGCCGTGTCACATATAGAAATTTTTTGATATTTGCAACCATAGTAAAACAAAGATTAATATTTTTTGATATTTATTTTATATATTTAAATGCCATTTAACAAAGAAAAATCAACCAAAAAAATGAGTTCGCGTGTCACCTCTGACACACGTGTCATAGGTTCACCATCACTGCTCTAGTCCTTTCGGCTTTGAACATTCACTCCAGATAGCCTTGATATGGTTCTCATCATCTCAGTAGCTCTAATTATCACATCAATATCTAATTAATACATTAAAAACACGGGCAATTTTTGCCCAGAAGCACATATAAAATTAGGTCTCAAACACTTCATGAAATACAGCTTCA